ATGGATCAAGATAATCGGTTTCATCCAAGACTGCTTGGAGTTGAGGAGCAACTGCTCTCTTGATCACCTTGCTTAAAAAAGGTAACAAGGAGACTGGTCTATAATTGTTTCTGTCCAGGGGATCCAGAGAAGGTTTTTTTAGGAGTGGCTTAACTGCCGCCTCCTTTAAACAAGATGGAATACTACCCTCCATGAAAGACGCGTTGATTGTGTCCCGAAGGAACATTTTCAACGTGTCCCCTCCCTGGACGACAGCCAAGATGGACAAGGATTGAGGGGCCAAGTCATCTTCCTCACCCTTCCAAGTAGCTTGTACACATCATCGGTACTCACAGATTGGAACTGATCCACTAAAATGCCATCAATGGAGTTCCTGGATGCCTCGTCTACAGATTCTGCCAAAACACCGGCGTCTAAGTTGGCTCTTATCTGAGAGATTTTATGTGCAAAGTAGATATTAAATGCCTCACAGCAGGCTGTTGTTGGGTTAAGTAGGGGGGTTGGCACAGGGGGAACCTTCATCAATTCCCCCACCACCCTAAATAGCTCTGCCGGGCGAGAATCTGCAGACACAAATATGTGCAGAACAGAAGGATTTCTGTGCTACACGTAAAGCCTCCCTATAGGAATCAAGATAGTTCCTAAGGCGAGTTCTGTCGGATAAGAGACGAGTCCTTCACCATTCACGCTCTAGTCGTTGTCTGACCCGCTTCATCCTTCTAAGCTCCTCTGAATACCAGGGCTTATGGTTCGAAGTGGGCTGGAAAGGATGCTTGGGAGCAATTGTGTCGATAGCCCTGGTGAGATCGGTGTTCCAAGTATTCACCAAGGCTTCAACAGAATCATCGGCGTTACCAACCATTAAACCCTCTAAGGCTTTCTGGAAACCAATGGGTTCCATTAGTCATCGAGGGTGGACCATCATAATGGGTCCGCCACCCCCGGGAGGTTGAACAATAGCTTTTAGTTCTGCCTTGATCAGAAAGTGGTCCGTCCATGACAATGCAGAGGTTTTTTTGACCTCTGCCCACAGATATTCCTGCTCCGTACTAAAGACCACATCGAGGGTATGACCAGCACAATGTGTGGGCCCATTGACCAACTGGGATAGACCCATGTTTGTCATGATATGCATGAACTCCCGAGCCTCGCCAGTTTCTTGTAATCTGGTTTCAAGTGGGATGTTGAAATCGCCCAGAACCAAAAGTCTGGGCAATTACAACAACAACTCAGAAGCCAGGACGGTCAGCTTGGTTAGGGAGTCTGTTAAGCTACGGGGTGGCCGGTATA